AAGGATCGCGGCGGTTTGCAGCGTGCGTTCGATGATGAGTTTAATTTTTGGAAATAACTGGTTTTTCTTGCGTTTTTTTTTTGAGCAAATATTTTTTCAGGATTTATTTTGTTGGCGCACAGTCATTTTTTTTTTGAATACTTATACTGCAATCAGAGCATTTTGGTTGAATTGGTGGCATATTTTGTTGTTGTTTTTACACTTATGGACACTTTTCATGACGACAAGCACTGAATTGTTTTCACGAACATTTTTCATCGCTCAAAATCAACATGAAAAATCGATTTTTCCCTTTGTTTTAAGATATTTTCATTTACCTTAAACTTCATTTTCATTTTTTTAGTCTACATATATCTTTTAACTTCTTATTTGGTGGTTTGTTTCGTTTTGTTTTGTTTTGTTTTGTTTTGTTTTATTTTGTTTTGTTTTATTTTGTTTTGTTTTGTTTTATTTTGTTTTGTTTTGTTTTGTTGTGTTGTGTTGTGTTGTGTTGTGTTGTGTTGTGTTGTGTTGTGTTGTGTTGTGTTGTGTTTTGTTTTGTTTTGTTGTATTGGGTTGTGTTGCGTTATACGTAGTGTGTTATACTGTGTTGTGTTTTGTTGTATTGGGTTGTGTTGTGTTATACTGTGTTGTGTTTTGTTGTGTTGTGTTATGTTGTGTTGTGTTGTGCTCTGTTATATTTCGTTTTTTTTTTCAATTTGTGGTTATTTTATTTATTTTTCTCGTATATGGCCTAGTTTCTTTTATTTATACATATTTACATATTTTTTTTATTTTTTTTTTTCTTTTTTATTTAATTTTTTCTTTTAATAACCTCTAATTTGTTTATATATTTTTCCCCTTGGAGATATCTTATTTAATTTAATTCAATTTAAAGTATTCAATTTAATTTGATTTCTTCGTATATAACCCGATTTCGCCACTATCCATACTTTCTTTTGAATTTGTTTTTCTAAATAATTCTCCTTCCCATTGCAGGTAATCCCAAAAGTCTACTGCCAATGCCCGTGGAAGACTCATCAATGCGCCGCTCGTGCTCGCTCAGCGACTTGCATATGGGAATTAGCGGCAACATGGGTAAATGTAAGTAGTTTGCCATATATATTTTTTACAGGAATCGTCGTCTAATGCAACTATCAATCTCTTCTAATTGCAGCTGGTAAATCCAATGGTAGTCAATTGAAAAATCCAGGCGTTGTTTATCGTAATAGCACAGCGACAAGGTCTGCCAGCAAGCGCAATAGTCTACAACTGAAAAGCTCGACTGGTTTGGGTGCATCGAGTTCATCGATTGGTGTACTAAATCAAGCGGTAAGTTTCAAAACTATTTTTTTTTTTTTGCATCAAATTTGCCATATCGGAGAAATTCTGACATATTCCCTTCGATTCGATAAAAAATTGCCACAAGGGAAACATGAAAAGGGCCATATTTCATACCAGTAATGCTACTTTTGAAAAGGATGCTAGTTAATAAATTGGGTGGTGTAAGAAAACAAGGGACACTGGAACATAGAATATTTTTGTATCCGTATGGCATTTCACCAACCTCGTCCCACCCAAGATACTACAAGCTGCCTTAATAAATAAATGCAAACTGTGCCTTTATTCAGAAATTCTTTACAATAAACGATTCGACTGTCGATGAAATTAAGTGTGGCCACTGCCCAGCAATCACATAGAATGCTGCCCGACGTATCTTCAGATCAATCGAGTGCATGTTAGAACGCAGGTGGCTATGGTTGCTTAGGTACCCTTGAGTAACCTGACACTGACTTTATTCAAAAGATTTATTTCCCTTCTAGCGAAAAGGTACTCAAAGCGTTTTAAGTTTACCCACTCGGTAATTGTCTCGAAGAATACTTGTTGATCACGCAAAATGGTTCGTTTTCCACAAAGTCATCCGATAACCCTTCCCTTGCCAATTCATCGGCAACCGCGTTTTTCTTCCTAGTTCTATGATCTAGCAGGCGCAAAATAATTTAGAATCGTCCGACTCGCTCTTCATGAGTACCTCTCTCAGGGAAATCAAAAATCAAAATCAAAAAATTCCACTCAAAAGCTAAGCAGGGTCGTATAAGATTACCTGACAGAGTTGGAATACGTACAGCTTACTAAAAAACAAGGCGCTGTTAGGAGTAAGCAAAGAAGAAACCTACAAATTCAATTTAATTTTTCGTATTTCGTATTACGATTGCTCAATTGGTTCGTAAGATATACGTGAGTAAGTGGAACCACTTTTTGTTTTAAACCGAATAACGGTAAATTGAGAATATCTAGAAAACTTATCAATAGAATAAAAAATTAACTTGATTTTCGGAATCAGCGAACAATTCTATATAGAAATTGGATAGTGGCAACCATAGAACATTTTTGCTGTAAACCAGTGTAATTTATTAGTTTAAGGGATAGTTTTTGTATATTATAAATTTCGATTGTTGAAAACTATCACTTAAAATCCACAATATATGATTTATAGAGTGATTCTGAAAATGAGGACAACAATCGTGGTCGCAGTAGCGGAAGTAGCTCAAATCGTACTAATGGACCTACCGGTAAGTACTTCAATCAGCAAATAGCCGTTTATTACTACTCTATTCCCATGATTGAATTCCCATCTTCCACTTCTAGCCGCCAATCGTCAGTATGCAAACAAGAATTCTAACACAAATAACAATCGGCGAAAAGGTTTACAGCCGAATTTCAGCAATGGTAAGCAACGTTTTTAATTTTTTTGTATCGATATTAAAATGGCACTACAAAATTGAAATCTTTCTCTAGCCGCTCCACTGCAAGACGATTCCAGCTCCGAAGAGATGCCCGGCGGTTCGTCCAACTCCAAACCAATAGTGCCACCACGCCCGCGTAATTTAACTTTCGATCATAAAAGCAAAGTGCTCAACAGTCCAAATGTGATGAAGCAACGTGGCGTATTTGAAGCGCCTGAATTTGGAGCACTCGAAAGTTCTGATCGTAAGTTAAATAGTAGATTTTTAATTTTTGGCGGACGAAAATTAATGTATTTTCTTGTTGTTGTAGCGAAATCACAAGTGCACAACGTGATTAACAATTTATATACAACAACACAAACGGTCATGCAACTGCATGCGAATCTAAAGAATTGTGAGGATTCATTAATGTTAAAGGAACTGGAGAATGCTGTGATTATGACACAAAATATGTTGACCAACATTACACAAAATAAGTGAGTAGCATGCGACGGTGATTTTCTTCTAATCTTTGGAGTTTTGCGATTAAGATTTAAGCTTCTATATTTGCTAAATACGTGCCGAAGTAGCTCGATAGACATGTACATATCGATGGTCCTGTGCATAACGACACAATTCAAAATTCAAAAAAATAAAAACTGGTACTACTGTTAAGTGGCTCACGTCTCTAATCCTTGTTTAAGCTTTTGTACTTACTTTAGCACTCCTTACTGCTTACTTTAGTAAGGGATGGAAATGGATTAGACGAGGATTAGAGACAAGAGCCACTTTACATACTGTTAACAGTTTTTGTATTTGGAATTTTGAATTGTGTCGTTATTGCATTGATGGGATAAAAACTTATGGAATTGGAAAGTTTGCAGTACCTTTTAGCGTTTAATCAAAAGTGCAGTTTGACCCTATCTCCAAATTGTTAAGAGTGTTGAAATTAGATCACAATGCTATCGTCACGCTCATCTTACGACAGGTCATGTTGTTGTTGTTGTTGTAACTGTTTACTTAGATCGGTTTATCTCTCAATCGTTGCCGTCAATCTCAACCAACATTATGTACGTCAGAATTTATTCTGCTCATCTGTGAGTTAAGCCTACATATCGATATGTCTATAGCAGCAAGGCTGTTTTCCACATTCTTCTGCTCCGGGCTGGCATTAAGGCAAATGCCAGAGAAGACTACACCCAAACTCCACTTCCGTCAGTTGCAACGACAGGCGCTGCGAACGTACTATTTCGACGGATTCGGACTAAAACAATAGGGATGTTGATCCACGAAGTACAGATATCTCAGAGTAGCAGTTTTTGATTAAAGCTAAGTCTTCAGTCGCACTTGCGAGCGCTATTACCGAGCCATCAGTCGCCAAGTAGGAGACTAGAAAACTGACTCTTATGTTTGGAAATGTTTCGACAACTAAAAATTAAACAAAAATGTATAGAAACTACCTTCCTTTTCTGACGCTAGCAGGTATAGCGGCAAGGATCTTCATTAATGGGGAGAGGAAAGTTATAATCAGCAGTTGCTCGAAAATCGGAGTTTTTGCTTTTTTAAAGTATACCTTTATATGAGAGATAGGCAATTTAGTTGCCATATTTCGCACATTTTCAATACCAGCCTACTTTGTGCCAAAACTAAAATATGTGCACGATTTCGTAGATATTTCTCAAAATATTTTCCCCCGAGGGCGGACAGTATTAATTGATTGTTCCTCAAACTCCATAAACTTAAATTTTTTTATTTTCCAGAAATGACAAAACTCACTCACAACATAGTCACGCCTATACAACCACAGAACAGGCGAATCTCGACAACGGCGACTACTTGATGATGGTCAACAATTGCGCCGATCTTCTAAGTAATTTTCGTATGAAGCACAAATTGGACGACTGTGAGAATAACTCCTAGTGTAGTAGTAGCAGCACTAGCAGCGATTGAGAATTTAGCGTTTAATTAAATACACACATTACACACATAAAGAACGAGACGAGAAACAAAGCAAATAGAAATGAATAACAAATATGCAACTAAACT